AGAAAGTTACCTACAAGGGGTCTCCCATTGGACTATCAATTGATTTCTTAACAGAAACACATCAGGCCAGAAGGGAATGGTAGGAAATATAAAAGTATGCAAAGCAAGGGACTGAATCCAAGAATATTATACTCACAAAGGCTATCATTCAAAATTGAAGGTGAAATCAGGAGCTTCACAGACAATATAGGTCTAAAGGAGTTTATTACTACTAAGGCAGCAAAGCAAGAAATGCTAAAGGGACTGCTGTAAAAAGAAGATATAGAAAGGGATGAAGGAACACAGGCATACAGAATAAAAATGGTAACCAGCAAGTACCTATCAATAATAAGATTAAATGACAATGGATTAAATTCTCCAATCAAAAGACATAGGGTAGCTGAATGGATAAGAAAACATGACCCATATATTTACTGTCTACAACAGACCCACCTCAGAAAAAAAGACTCACACGGACTGATAGTGAAGGGATGTAAAATAAGTTTTCAGACAAATGGAAATGAGAAAAAAGCTGGGGTGGCAATACTTATATCTGACAAAATAGACCTCAGAGTGAAGGCCATAACAAGAGATAAAGAGGGCCACTTCATAATACTAAAGGGAGCAATTCAAAAAGAGGATATAACTCTGGTAAACATATATGCACCTGATAGAGGAGCACCCAAATACATAAATAAATTTCTGGAAGATGTCAAGGGAGATATTGGCAGCAATAGAATCATAAAAGGGGAATTTTATACCCAATTAACACTACTGGATAAATCTTCTAAACAATAAATCAGCAGAGAAACAGCAATCCTAAATGACTTACTAGATCAGTGAGTCAGATGGAACTAATACCTTCAGAACATTTCAACCAGAAGCTACAGAATGCACATTCTTCTCTCGTGCACATGGGACATTTTCAAGGATAGACCACATTTTAGGATGCAGGCAAAGTCTCTTCAAATTCAAGAAGACAGAAATCATATCAAGCTTCTTCTCAGATCAAAATGGCATAAAATTAGAAATCAACTACAATAAAAACAATGAAAAAAATAAAACACTTGGAGACTAAATAGCATTTAATGAGTCAATGAGTGGGTTACCAAATAGATCAAAGAAGAAATAAAAAGCATCCTGGAAACAAATGACAATGAAAACACAACAATCCAAAATCTATGGGACACAGTGTTGAGAGGGAAGTTCATAGCTCTACAGGCCTACGTCAAAAAACAAGAAAAAATGGTAATAAATTATCTAACCCTACACCTTAAGGAATTAGAAACAGAGTAATAAGAAAAGCCCAGAATAATCAGAAGAAAGGAAGTAATAAGGATCTGAGTGGAAATAAACTCCATAGAAACAAACAAACAAAAATAATACAAATGATCAATAAAACTAAGAGCTGGTTCTTTGAAAGGATAAAACAAGATTGATGAACCTCTAGCCTGGCTCATCAAGAATCAAAGAGAGAGGTTTCAAATAACCAAAATCAGAAATAAAAGAGGTGAAGTAACAAACAACCTCACAGACATACAAAAGATTGTAAAAAATACTACAAACAATTATACTCCAACAAACTGGATGACCTAGATGAAATGGACGTATTTCTAGAAAAATACAATCTTCCAAAACTCAAAAAGGTAGTATCAAAAAACTGAAATATCCTGATAACTACTGATGAAATTGAAGCAGTAGTACAAAAAAATCCTGCAAACAAAAGCCCTGGACCTGATGGCGTCACAGAGGAGTTTCACCAATTATTGAAAGAAGAACTAAAACCTGTCTTTCTCAGAGTATTCCAAAAAAGTCAAGAGGTAGGAACACTTGCAAGTTTTTTTCCATGAAACCAGCATTATCCTAATCCCAAAACCAGATAAAGACACTGCAAAGAAAGAGAATTGCAAGCCAATATCCCTGATGAACATAGATGCTAAAATCCTCAACAAAATTATGGCAAGTTGGATCCAGCATTACATTAGAAAGACCATAGACCATGACAAGTGGGATTTATTCTGGGGATGCAAGGCTGGTACAATATCCTCAAATCAATAAATGTGATACATCACATAAACAAATTAAAACACAAAAATCACATAATCATATCAATTGATTTGACAAATTCCAACACCATTTCCTAATGAAAATTCTCAACAAAGTGGGAATAGAGGGATCATACTTCAACATAATAAAAACCTGATGTGACAATCCTACAGCCAACATCATACTCAATGGGCAAAAGCTAAAACCATTTCCCTCCAAAACAGGGACAAGACAGTGATGCCCACTTTCACCTCTCCTGATCAACATAGTACTGGAAATGCCAGCAATAGTGATCAGACAAGAAGAAGAAATAAAAGGCATACAAATTGGAAAAGAAGAAGTAAAGCTACCATTATTCACAGATGACATGGTATTGTACATAGAAAAACCTTAAATACTCCATCAAAAGACTCCTAGACTTAATAAATGCATTTGGCAATATAGAAGGATACAAAATTAACACCCATAAATCTATGGATTTTTTATACACTAATAATGAACTCATAGAAAGAGAAACTTAAAAAATTCCCATTTACCATTGCAACAAAAAATTAAGATACCTAGGAATAAACTTAGCTAAGGAGGTATAAGACCTGTACTCAGAAAAGTACAGGATGTTGAAAAAAGAAATAGAGGAAGACATAAACAAATGGAAGAATATACCCTGTTTAAGGACTGGTAGAATCAACATCATTAAAATGGCCATACTGCCCAAAACAATCTATAGATTTAATGCAATCTCCATTAAGGTACCAATGGCATATTTCACAGACCTAGAATCAACTCTCCAAAAATTCATATGGAACAAAAAAAGACCTGGAATAGCTGCAGCAATCCCGAGAAAGAAGAACAAAGTTGGAGGGATCACAATACCATTATCAAGCTATATTACAAATCTACTGTTCTCAAAACTGCCTGATACTGGCACAAGAACAGACATATAGACCAAGGGAAACAAACAGACAACACAGAAATTGATCAAAGCCATCACGCTCAATAAGTATTTGACAAATGAGGCAAGAGCATACAATGGAGTCAAGACAATCTCTTCAATTAATGGTGTTGGGAAAATTGGACAGATACATGCAAAAAAAATGAAATTAGATGACCAACTTACACCATACACAAAAATAAACTCAAAATGGATAAAGGACTTAAATGTAAGATGGGAAACCATAAAAATTTTAGAAGAATTCATAGGCAGTAAAATAGCAGACAAATGTCATAGCAGTATCTTTACCAATACAGTTCCAAGGACAATGGCCACTGAGGAGAAGATAAACAAAAGTGACTTTATCAAAATAAAAAGCTTCTGCACAGCAAAAGAGAACATAACAAAACAAGAAGAGAGACCACTGCAGGGGAGAACGTATTTGCTAATGTTATCTCTGATAGGGGTTTAATCTGCAAAATTTATAGGAAATTCATACAACTTTACAAAAAAAGAGAAACAATCCAATAAAACAATGGGCAAAAAACCTAAATAGACACCTTTTGAAAGAGGACATACAGAAGGTTAAAAGACATATGAAAACATTTTCAGAGTCATTAATAATCCCAGAGATGCAAATCAAAACAACAATGCGGTACCATCTCACACCTGTCAGAATGGCTATCATCAACAAATCAACAAATGACAAGTGCTGGCAAGGATGTGGAGAAAAAGGAACCCTTGTGCACTGCTGGTGGGAATGCAGACTGGTGCAGCCACTGTGGAAAACAATAAGGAGATTCCTCAAAAAATTAAAACTGGAACTCCCATTTGACCAATTAATCCACTTCTGGGAATATATCCCAAAAAATCAGAAACGCCAATCACAAAGGACTTAGGCACCCCTATGTTCACAGCAGCACGTTTTACAATAGCTAAGATTTAGAAACATCCTAAGTGCCCATCAGCAGATGAGTGGATTAGAAAACTGAGGTACATATACACAATGTATTCTGTGGTAAAAAAGAGGGAACTCTTACTCTTTGTAACAGCATAGATGGACCTGGAGAGCATTATGCTAAGGGAAATAAGCCAGTAGGAGAAAAACAAATATCACTTTGACCTCACTCATTTGTGGGATATAATGAGCAACATAAACTGATGAACAGAAATTGAGCCAGAGACAGAGAAGCATTGAACAGGCATCAAACTTCACAGGGGAATCAGGGGAGGGTTGGTGGAGGGTGATAAGAGATCAACCAAAGGACTTGTATGCATGCATAGGAACATAACCAATGGTCCCAGACAGAAGGGAGGTGAGGGCATGTGCTGGGGGTGTGAGCAGCCGGGGAGAGGTTTGTGGGGGAAAAAGAAGACTTATGAAATACTTTAAGCAATAAAGAATTTAAATTAAAAAACCACAAAACTCTGTTTTGCTTACTCATGATGGTAAATGTACTTTTTTGCTCCCCTGTAGTATTTATAGCAATAATGTGCAGGCTGTAAGTTACAATCTTTGTAATGACTAGCCTTGTTTATTAGTCATGACTGGAATAAATAATAATAAAAAATTTCTGACATTTCCAGTCTCCCTCTAGTTGTCACCTATTGCAGAAACTGATAATGAGAGGACTGGCAAAGAAGAAATGTAATTTCTATGTTTGCATTCCCTGTGTGACAAAGCAGAGTACAAATGGGAAGGATGGTTAGAATTGAGACAAATGGACATTATCCATTAGCTGTGCCTTTTCTCAGGAAACACATAGAAAATAATTTCATGAACAATTAAACACTACCTATTTAAAATAATGAAAAACAGTAATAATCTAGGATTTAGGGTATTTTCCTAATTGTTTCATGGGCGATGTTTTATGGTCCCAAATAATAAAATTATTCAGGCATTATGCCAATGTTCTGTGACACATTCTGTACCAATTCTGCACCCAGGAGACTAAAATTTAGTACATTGAAAATTGGAAAAGACCGGACTTCATTTTTGAAATTATAAATTGTTGCTTTTCTTTCTAAAATGCAGTAGAACATTTCACTGTTCTTCCTTAGATGAAATTGGAACATCTTGCTCTTTTTCTGTAGGTAAAGTCTTGACATTGTGTTCTTCATACTCATGTGTAGGTGACACATTAGGCTCTTTTCTCTTAGCTCTTCTTTTGTGTGCCAGAAAACACAAAATTAAGCAGCATAACAACATCATAAAAGCAAGGTACCAAAGTAGTATCAGGGAATTGGTTGTTTGCCTCATTTTCTTCCTTTTATACCGAGGGGGTGGTCCACTATCAACACTACCTCCACTGCCTCTTTTCAGGCATTTGGGAGGGTCCCACTCCGAGTTGCAATGGCAGTGCTGTCTGTTGTTGCAGACTCCTTTCAGATTGCAGGTCTTAGGTGAACAAAAAAATGTCAGATGTGCCCTATGATAACACCTCCTTTTGACGCAGATATGATCTGGCCCACACGCTGTCCCATCTTTCACATCACCAATGTCAGGATCTGTCATCCCGAAGTGGTAGTCGGTACCCCAGCAGGTGGCGCCATTGATGTGAGTCCAATGCACAGTAGAATGATCCCTTAGAAGGGGAATTTGTATCACATTATCACACTGAATCCTTCCGCACAAGATATCTAAGATGCTACATTTTATGTATCCACCGTTCATTAAACCACAGTTCCCAAAACGGTCACCTCGGGTGTTAATTTCTGTGTAGCAACTCTGATTTGCACTCTTGGCCTCTTTGCCAAAAATGTTCCTACACTGCTCTTCACGGATATTGCATCTCTTTTCATAGCAGTAGCCACCGCCCTTGCATGGCATCCCATTCTGCACATACACATCCTCTGGACAATGGTAGGATGTCCCATTGCACCACTCTGGGAGATCACACTCATTTTCCTCTTGTCTACAAACTTCGCCTGTGGGCAGGATCTGGCAGTCTTTGCAACAAAGCCCAGAAGCACAAGCAGCCCCAGGGCTGAGAGTGCAGTTGGACTCACAGCACGGATCTTTCATACACAAATGTAAAGCGCCACAGTCACACTCTTCTCCTTCTTCAATCACACTGTTCCCACACCGTGCAAGTGTGAAGCTTTTCCCAGTATTTGAAGGAAAGTTCAAACAATTTTGACTTGCAATGCTGTTCATGAAGCTGGCATAACTGCAGTTGCTGAATCTAGTTGCACTTGTTGGATATGCATACATTATGCATTGATTATTTCCACATTTACAAGTTTTGTCATCATGAAGCATACCCAAATTATGACCAATCTCATGTGCCACAGTATATGCAGAAGAATACACATTACCATACCTGAAACTATCAACTCCACAGTTATAATTATAGTTACATACTGTTCCAACAAAGGATAAGCCAAGATCAATACCATAGCCTTGCTTTACAAAAAGGTGTGCAACATCATGGGGCAAGCGCATATTAAAGCTAGCTTTCTTCCAATTGCAAAATGCTTCTACGAGACCACTTTTTTTTATTGAAATGGGGTTTTTTTCAGTCCAGACCTCAAGTCCCATTAAAACCACATCAACATCCAATGACTTTAAAAACTTATGTGCTCCATTGACTACACTGAATACTTCATGCTGCACTGCTGTGGTGTTACTATGGTGATGAAGATAGCGGTAGTGGTCCACCACCACTGCCAGTTCAAGAAGCCGGTGGTGTGTCCACCAGCCTTCATACCCACTCTGCATCAAAGTGAAATTAGCACTCTCCTGAAATTTCAATTGTCTTGCTATTTCTTCATCTGATAATCCACATTTCATGGGTGGCAATTGTGTCTCTTCACTCTTCATTCTAAATAAGAGATGTTCAAATGTGGTAGAAAGTCTTTTGGGCTCTATTTCATAAACAATGTCATTTGTTTGTAATATTCCTTGAAAACCTCCCAAACAGGTACTGAGGGCAACCAGGGATTCTGGGTCCCCCTCCACATAACCATGATAGTAGCAGTCATTCTGGATAAAAGGCTGGTCCTCAAGGAGAGCGCCCTGGTCCGAGTAGGTAAACACTGGGAAATGTCTAGATAGAAAATGACTGTTGACCTTAATGTTTATGACCTGATTCCGCCCGCCAAAATGCATTCTGTAAGAGAGCCAGTCTTTAGTCTTCATGCCAAAGCCAGTGCCTGTTACCCTCAAGGGAATCACCACTTCTGGGGGACCATGGCGTTGGGAGTGCACAGCCTGGAACCATCCATATGGGAACAGAATCACCCCCAGCCAGAGTGGCAGGAGAGTGTTCCTCACACACACCAGGGCCTCACTCACAGCCATTATGGAGCCACCATACACAGCCATTGGTGAGAGCAAAATAGGACGGGCAGGAAGCATCACTGTTCCCTCTGAGCTGGGTGTTCAACATCGACTTTGAATCTGTTCTCTGGCAGGCTCATATTAGAGGAACACACTGAAAGAGAAAATAAAGAGAGGAGTAGAGACAGGTTTGGGGCTTATGAGCAGGCCAAGGTGGAGGAGGAAGAAAAAGACTAGTTTTAAATGGAGTAGTGTTTTGTTTAAGACATGACTCAGAATACTGCATGCATTTCCCCTTAAGAAATTTTAAGGGGTTCCAGCCCATGTGGCTCAGTTGGTTGAATGTGGTCACTGGTTCAATTTCTGGTCAGGGAACATGCCTGGGATTTAGGGTCTATCCCCAGTACGGGGCATGCAGGAGATAACCTATCCATGTTTCTCTGTCATAGAGGTTTCTATATCTCTCTCCCTCTTCCTTGTTCTATCTCTAAAAATCTATATATCATATTAAGAAAAAAGAAATAGTAAGGCAGTGTGAGAAGCCAAGGATTCACATCAAGATGGAAGCATAGGTAAATGCAGTACAGTCAACCCTCAATTTGCCGACCTCGATTTAAAGGACTTTGAATTTAACAGATATAATTTCTGGTCCATATATCATATGTGAAAATACCCTGTTAATTTTGAAATGCTTTAAACCAAGATTTGCTTATAATTTAATTAATATGTTAAGGCTTTGCTATTCATTGTTATTTTTAGCAAATAGGCCATATGTTGGGGAAAAACAAATTATTACTTGTCCTGATTCCTTTCTGTATTTTTATTTACATCCAATTCTGCAAAACTGTAAGGGTCAAAGTATCAATTTGGCTTCACATTGTTGTCATGTAGGTTTAGTAGAATTAAGTCAGAAAAGAATAGTTTTCCATGAAAAAAGTATGAACATAGTAAGGAAGACATTATAAAATACAGAAAAAAATATTCCAGAGGAAAGATTTCAAGGTAATGAAGATAAAACAAAAATCAAGCAGGATGAGTACATAATCCAGAAGAGGAATGAACCTTAGTTGGGCATTTTTCATTTTTATATTACCTACTAGGGAAGTGGATTTAAAAATTAAGTCAGGACAGAATTATCTTTCCTGTATTTTTTCAATTTGGACAGGGGCTTTGATGTTCTTACTTTAACCACTCTCAGTAGTTAATGATCTTTAGATGACTGTTGATATTCATGCTATAAATAAAAGCTAGCTTGGATATGTAAATTACTGAATGCAATTTGACAAATTTCTAATGTGTATCTTTGCCCCAACCACTCTGTCCAAGTTTGTGCTTAAGACTATTAATTTATTTAGGTCTGCATTATTCATTTAAGTTTCCCAACAGTGTAGCCCGGTGCCTACAGATTACATGGTTTTATTAATATTGTGTTCATGAAAGAAAGTAATAAATCAGTATTGTCAAAGACATTGGGCTTGTATACGATTTCTCATTTTCACAAATATGTGCTAATATGTTTGTATTATTGAGGCAAATATTGTATATTTATTTTTCAAATAAAATATATATATTGTTTATCACATAATTTGTTTATCACATAAATATATCTATATGAAGATTGAAATTATCTTGCAATCCTAAAACTGTGGGGATTCAGATGTTTGTGCCCTGTGAGAAATTATTACTCACCCCCCTGAAGCTTTCCTCCATCCTTTTGGGATTATTGATTTCCTTTGCTTTTCTGAAGGTATTTTGTTTTGTCTTCAGTACACTCCCATCTCAAATTGCTACCCTTATAGTTTGATTTTGTTCTATTTTACATAGTGCTAAAAATTTTCTTCTTTATAATAATATAATGAAATATAAACACATTTAAGTCACATCCATCTAACCCAGCGGTTCTCAACCTGTGGGTCGCGACCTCTTTGGTGGTCAAATGACCCTTTCACAGGGGTCGCCTAAGACCATTCTGCATATCAGATATTTATATTAAGATTCATAACAGTAGCAACAGTTATGAAGTAGCAACAAGAATAATTTTATGGTTGGGTCACAACATGAGGAACTGTATTTAAAGGGCCAGAAGGTTGAGAACCACTGAAACCCATAGTATTTCTCCTGTCCAGTACCATCACTGTCTATTGCTGATTTAACATTATGGTACACTAGAGGCCCGATGCATGAAATTCATGCAAGGGGCTCGGCCCTCACAGCCACAGCGGCTTGCCTTAGTCCTCGCAGCCCCTGCTTCGTCAGAAAGGATGTTCGGTCTAATTAGCATATTATGCTTTTATTATTATAGATACTAATATATGCATAAGTTTGTTTATATCCCCCCACAGTTTTGTCAAAGTTTTGTCAAATGGCCAATCCCAGTGCCTTAATTACCACCTCCCTCCTAAGTCACAGTTTTCCAAAATATGAGTAACTATCCAACAAAGCACAGCTTTGTACCTTTCAACCAAGTAAAAAGTAAAAATTACTAAAATAGGAAATAATAAATATCATAGATTCCCCTCAAGACGTGAATACTTAGTAAAGACTCTCAACTATATATATATATATATATATATATATATATATATATATATATATTCTGTCATACATAAATTTTTATACTTTTTTGTGTAAAGTCACTTTCCTTTACACAAAATTTTTGAGTGACTTACCAGCAGAAAATTTAATGGTTCCATGGTTCTTTCTAGCTATATCTGTGTTCACTGAGAATTTGTACTTTTATTTGAGACCACCCCTTTTTTGTCTCTGGATTGATTACATTCTAGATTTAGTTACCTAGCAGCAAGCCTCTCTCAGTTCTATAGATAATGGCAACTGGTTAAAGGTCCTCCTCATTGTGACTCCACCATCTCCATCAAACTTTACTTCTAACTACTCTTCAAAAGGTATAAATGTGACTAATCTCCATCCTACATGTTTTTTGTATACAGTATAAACACTTTAGCTTCAGTAGGTTCATTAAACTGTTGCCTTAATCACAGATTATTTCTTCAACAATGAACCATGCTTTAGTTCAAGTATGTCAAGTTCCAGGGAAAGGTTGAATGATGTAGAATATTTTACAAGGAATCCAGACATCATTAATCATCAGTAACTTTCTCTATAAGTTCAATGAAATAACAGAGACATTTCATATCTGCACATAAATATATTTAATTTATTAAGAAAACCACTGTCAGTAGGAAAAGAAGATTTAGCAGAAGAGGGAGGTGAGTAAAAAGTAAAGTGGGAATAAATTTAATAGGTAAATTGACTGGCTGGCAGTATAAAATTCAATATGGGCAGACCCATATTCATCAAGTTGTCTGAGGTTAACCAAAGAAGCAAATTTAGTTATTCATTATCCTTGAGAGTTTACCTGTGGGACAGACAGAGAGGTTGTTAATGTCTGCCAGCTGGATACCTGCCAGTGTCTTTCTATTTTTCCTCCAGTTTGGTAAGTTCATTCCAAATCTTCATTTTTTTTCTTTATGGAATTTTTCACTTCTCTCTGGCTTCTATCAACTAGTTTCTAAAGAATCTACTTATAACTATGACTATGTTAATCTATTGTTTTTTTATGGTTTGGGCTCTCCCAATTACAACAGGAGAGCCCAAACCATGTACACAAGGGCTTTCCTAGAGCATACAGCTCAGGTAAACAAAGAGACAACAACGCTGGATGTTATAATAAACACCACAAAGATGAGTGATTTCATAGACTTATTGCCTGAAAATTCTAGAGAATAGAATTCCAAAATCAGCATCCACAATGCCTTACTCTCTCTGAAGATACCAGGGAAGGATTTATGGTAGGGATCTCTTCTGTCTTCATGTAGTTCCTTGCCCTGTGCAGCATGATGCAATTTGGACATGATTCTCTTCCTCTGACCAAATTTGCCACTTTAAGTAGGACACCAGTCACACTGAATTAGCCTCCCCACCCCAATTCCATTGTTATCTACTAATGCATCATTCTGCAATAACCTCATTCCCAAATAAGAATATTTTCAGATATTAAAAATGGTGGCAGAATAAATGAAATCTCAGACATGCTCCCAGGACCACACTGGAATTACAACTAAAATACAGAAGAACCACCCTGAAAAAGGAACTGAGGACTAGCTATAGAGTATGCTGATAACCAAGAATGGAAAGTGGAGACCACATAGAGTGGATCCCCAAGCTGATCCCCCCAGGAGAGAGCACCAGAGCTGATAAAGAAATCAACATATTATATGGCTGTGTAAAAAAGCAGAGTTGCAGTCTGCCAGGAGAGAAGGCTGGAAATGCAGGCACCCTCTTATATGGGTCAAGCACAAAATTCTCTGTGCAGCCCTTCACCTTGTCCTCAGGTAGCAGGAGGGCAAAGAAGACTGTAGCTATCTGAACTGAAGCCAGGATAAAGGGCTCTGGATTTAGAGCTCAGAAGGGAAACACCCTAGTTTCCTGTGCTGAGTCATTCCCTCACACTGTGGAGGTCATCTTTTTCAGTCAAACCAGTGTTATCATGACATTTTTGCCTGGGAGGACCCACTGTATTGTAAAATCCCCTGACCCACCCTGTGGAGTTACTGAGGCCCATTAAGAGACTGAGAATAATAATTATCCTCCAGACAGAAGCAAGTATCCTACCCTGTTGGAAAACCTACCACCTCATCTGTGAATGATTGCCTGAGGGCTACTCAAGACTTAACCCAATCAGTCTCTAGGCAGAGGTGGTTTACTGGAGGCTTTGAGTCTTTGCCTGATCTAATTAGTCAGAAACAGCAGTTTGGTTCCCTGCCACAGACATCATCCCAGACTGCTCAGTGAGCAAAAGCAAAGGGGACCCCCAAGTGCCTGCAACTGACACTTGGGGGACCAACTCCATGAGTGAAATAAGTATAACTCAGAACAGGGTCCATCAAAGTGTGAGACTCAAGGCAGACCCAGTCTCTGGGCTAAGGTGTCTCTGACCACTGGACAGCTGGCATGAAGATATTGGGGTCAAAACTCACTGGCTGCAAGTTGGAGGGGAAACCCCTCGGACACATGGGACATCAACA